ATGTGGTCATACTTCCTGGTTCTAGTCGGGACTAATGTGGTCATACTTCCTGGTTCTAGTCAGGACTAATGGGGTCATACTTCCTGGTTCTAGTCAGGACTAATGTGGTCATACTTCCTGGTTCTCGTCAGGACTAATGTGATGGTACTTCCTGATTCTAGTCAGGACTAATGTGATGGTACTTCCTGGTTCTAGTCAGGACTAATGTGATGGTACTTCCTGGTTCTAGTCAGGACTAATGTGATGGTACTTCCTGGTTCTAGTCAGGACTAATGTGATGGTACTTCCTGGTTCTAGTCAGGACTGGTGGATATGTTATGTACGAGTGGTGGTCAGAGTAAACATAAATTGGGGGATTCCGAGCCCCGCCCCGTCTCGCTGCTTACACTGTGGATAACCTCTGGTGGCTCACTTCACGTTTACATAATGTGATGCCGGAGCTCATACACACGTTACACACATGTCATACACATGTCACACACATGTCATACACATGTCACACACATGTCATACACATGTCATACACATGTCATACACACGTTACACACATGTCATACACATGTCATACAGCAGCCGTTAAAGTCAGACAGTACATGTTACTGTGAGTAATTAGACTGAACATTGTCCTGGAGGACCATAAGCCTCTGGAGTCTCCAGCTGGTAGTATTGTAGTAATATTGTTGTAATACCCATTGCTGAATGAAAGATGAGTGAATTGGGAATGTCCTGAGAGGAGTGGGCTTAAATGTAATGGTCGAGATTATTTATGCATGGGTCACATTAGGCCTGGACCAATTGGATGTTAATACTTTAGCTTTTAAACATCTGCTGGTCCACCGGATGTGAATGCCAGGAAAGGGATTGAAAATAGCTATATTTACAAAATGGTTCCAATAGTATCATTTTTTCAAGAGTTATAAATCTATTAACATCAGTCAATAGTCCTATGACATTATTGATGCAACTGAAACCTGGATATTAACCGAGATCATAGAAACAAGACCAAATCCTACACGTTTTCTTGGATAGACTTTTGGTACCAGAATTAGAATATAATTTCATTGAGGCGATATTTGGCCACTCCCTGCTTCTTAGACACAGCACACACAGAGAATAGTGTGTCTCTAGAGCACATAGAGTACAGACATCTACTGCATAAAGTGCTGTACCTGTAGATGAGCACCTCGTCGTCAGAGCAGTTGTATTGGAGCTGGTACATCTTCACTTTGGGGGCTGCGTTACTGACCGTCCAAGTGACCAGAGCCGACACACCGCTCACCTCTGACACACCCACCTCCTTCTCCGGGGGGCTTTTGGGGGCCCCTTTACTGACCCTGGTGGTGCTTGTGATGTCGGAAAGGCGGGACTTGGGCTGTGTGGACTGCCCTGTGCCGTTGCTCAGGTGGGGCAGCTGCACGATGGACACTTCCACAGGTGCCGTGGACTCGCCCGCCACGTTGGCTGCGATGCAAGTGAATGTCCCGTAGTCCTTGGAGACGGTGATGGTGATGCTGAGCGTGCCGTTGGCGAACACAGAGGTCCTGGAGGAGTTTCCAAGAAGACGGCCATCGGGAGAGAGCCAGTGGATGATAGGGGCGGGGTCTCCACTGGCCTCACAGCGTAAGCTCGCAGTCTGTCCTTCTAACACCAGCATCCTGTGAGTGTGCTGCACGATGAGAGGAGGCTGACACATGAACTCCTCTTCTTGTACATTCCAAAAGTAGCGCCCCTTCAGGTTGGGTGGAGAGGCGCAGGTTTCGAGTTCATCGTCTCTGTCCAGCCTCCTTAGCCACAGAAGTTCACAGTTGCAATGCAGAGGGTTTCCTCCGAGACTGAGAGACAGCGGCGGAGCGTAGGGCGTGGTGAGTGTGATGGAGTCCTGAGCACGGGCGAAGATGGGGTCTGGGGCTAGTTTCTGCAATCGGTTCGAGGTCAGGTCCAGTCGAGCTAACCTCTCCAAGTCCTTAAAAGTCCCTTCTGGAATGTAATCCAGAAGATTATGGTCTAGACTGAGCTGATGGAGGTTGATCATTTGCCGAACAGAGTCCCAGGGCAAAGACACAAGGTTATTAAAGGAAAGATCCAGATCCTCCAGAGCAGGGGCCATGTCCTCGAAGGCCTTGTCGTGCACTCGGCTCAGCTGGTTGTTGTTGACGATGAGGTGTTGAAGGTTGATCAGTCCCCGCAGGTCGTCTGGCCCCAGCTCTATCAGACGGTTGTTGTCTAAATGCAGCGAGCGCAGGGTTTCGAGGTCTCCGAACGAGAAGGGCTGAATGTAGCTGATGGTGTTCCGCGACAGGGTCAGGTCCACCAGGTCACTCATGTTGGCGAAGTCGAGCTGAGTGATGCGAAGGATGTAGTTCCCGCCCAGACGCAGCTCCACTGTCCCGCGGTCGATGTCCGGAGGCACAAACAGGAGTCCTTTGGAGGGACATAGCGTTCCCAGAGACTCTGACAGATTCTGGCACGAGCAGTATTTGGGACAGGCTTCTGTGGTCATGGCGGCGGCTCCGAGCAGCAGCAGGCAGCGCAGCAGCAGCGCAGCAGGCAGCACAGCAGGCGCTCCATGGCCCAGTCATACACATCGGCCTGCGGAAGGACACACACGTGAGAAAACATACTCTATGGCACCTCATCCCACCCCAGACCTGTCCACACAGACACACACACTTTGAATTATCAACACTTTGATGCGGTGCAAATACCACGGCCTAAAAACCAGCCAATAATAATCCTTTACAAATAATGATTTGTCCAGTTTCGGGGCTGCTCAAATGAAGTCAAACCACAGATTATAAATGATATTTGAGTCAGGAGAAAAAAGTATACGGCTCGTCTAAATGTTTCTGCATGTCCTGTCAGATTTCTGAAGCTAAGCAGAGCAGAGTGTTGTCAGTACTGTGATGGGAGACCACTGGGAACAGCAGGTGCCACAGTGGGGCGGCTGTAAAGTGCCAAACTGTGGTTGTGTCCTTAGGCAAGACACTTCACCCACATTAGAATAAGTCTGGTGTGTGTGTGAATGATTACTGAGGGGCCGATGGCACAGACTGGTTTCCTCGCTTCTGTTCCAGGGCAGCTGTGGCTACAGCAGTAGTTTATCTCCACTGTGAATGACTAAAGCCATGTGTCCAAAAAAGCGCTATAAAAAACGAATGCATTATTATTATTCAACTTCAAACGCAGATTTATTTTGGTGAAGACCCACGGCTCTTTCACAGTTGTACGGTACATCAGTCCTGAAGCTAAAGTGTGTGTGTGTAAAGTAAAACATGGAGCATCATGGATAAGTTTTCTCCAATGATTCAGATTCATTTAAATATATTTATGCAATGTTTCGGGGTGTTATGTTTGTGCACACATGCTAACCCCTGATCAGTATTTCCTGTAGTGTGGAACCATGGACCTAACCACAGACAGACTCCTGACTCACACTCTTCCTCTTCACTATTTCTTAATTACATTTGGACCAGAGTCATGTGGGAATGTGTTCTCTCGTTTTCAGCCCGGGACTCGCTCAGAGAAAGAGCCTTCACGACTCCTGACTCTGGACTCTCCCTCTGGCCTCGTTTGGGCAACTGTCATGTGGAGGTTTAGAGCAGGGTAGCCCAAACCTTTTGCTTCCAAGGGCCAAAGTAAAAATTTGCCAGTGGGCCGCGGGCCAAATACACCGATATTATGCATGAAACACAAATAAATGTAGATTTGATCAAGTTCTTTTAAATGCATTAATTATTGTCTATCAGTGCAAATCACAGCTGAATGAATGAAATCAACACAGTCTTAGTGAAGTGGAGGCTCCAGGGAAATATGCAGGTTTGAGGAGACTACAGTACGGAAAGATTCCGGCCGGGTAATCAGGGTCCAGAGGAGATCTTAGCTTTTATCAAAAAGGGGAGACATCACTGATCAATAGATCTGGTTTTAGCACACTTTTAAACAATACATTTTAACATTAAGTAATGAATTTGGGAACATAATTGCTAACTGCATTTTCTAAACATGATCAGGTTTTAACTCTGTTTTAACATAGGACAAGTATTCTCAATTAGTAGTGAACTGAATATTAAACCAACGAAATCAGACTAGTTAACCATGATTTGTTCCTGGAGTTTTGTTTTGTTATGGCTAAACACAGTACAACATTTATAAACAATCAAAACAAAGTAACTGTTAAAGAGTCCGAGTTTCCGCTCCTCCAAAGGGCTCTTGAACGCATCATAAAACGCAGCGTAAGTTCTGACATTCAATGATCGCGCGTGAGGACGGCGCTTACCGGCTTCTTTCATGGGGTTGTAGAAGGGCTTGTTTTGCACAGTATTTGTTGCTTCTACTTGCGTGGATTGTGCGCTGCGATCCCTGCTTGTCCTGCTTGAACTCACTCTGAAGTGTTTGTGTCCGTCCTTTTTAACACACCGGGTGGGTGCGGATTGCGCAGGTGAATAGTTCCACTCGCCATTTCCCTCCGGTGAGGAGGGGGAGTGGCAGTTCGGCAGCACAATCCTCTCAATTTGATAAAACATTAAATAGCTCCAAAAAATAATAATAGTAGGCTGAAAAAACATAAATAAATAATAAATAATAAATAACATAAAGGGGCCTTGCACCCAATTGTTTTGAAAGATGTGTTTGATTTTAAAAAACATTTTAGTGCAAGTTGATGTGAACCATGAGTGAGGAGTGTATCTCGATACAACAGTTAAGTACTGGACAGCCGGAATTCAGAGGGCGACTATGCGCCTGCGCGACCTGAAATATGTCGCTTAATTCAGCGAGGCTGAGGGACGCAGATAGAAACTTATAGCGGAGGTGGGCAATGTTTGGCGGGCCAACTGAAATGGTCTGGCGGGCCAACTTTGGCCCGCGGGCCCCACTTTGGGCACCCCTGGTTTAGAGTCTGCTCCTTGTGCTTTCTGCAGAACGGAGAGAAAGTGGAGCATTAACTACAGGAAAGCAGCTTGGTGTGAAAATGCAGCAGATTATGTAAAAAGTCTGCTTCTTCACCCAGACCCAGCTGTCTCCACTGACAGCTACTGAGTTTTACCACATGGCCCAAAGCATTTTTAGTCCGATTAAGAAAGACATGAAAGAGAAGAAACCAGTTTGTTAACGAGAGAGAGGGCAGCTGCTCATGCTCATTATGGTGTACACTGCAAAAAGAGATGAAAGATTGCTCAAAAATTGCTCAAATTTTAATTTGAACACATTTTGACTGCCTTAAAACAAGAATTCAAGAAATGTCACGGTTGGAATGAGGAAATAAAGCAACAATGTCTTGGTCTCGTTGGAGAATCTGGTTTTACCACAGTCACCATGTGTCACATTAAGATCAAAACCTCTCGATTTAACCAAATATCACCTCATACTGTATCGTCTTTTCACAGAGTACTTTATGGAGCAGGTGAAGCACAAACCAGTGATCTCACAATTTTCTTCAAATAAAACAGCAGCATTGGTCTGTGTGGATTAGTCACGCTCTGAGCTGGTGACGACAGGCCATATGGCAGCTCAGACACATACACATGGTAACGCCACATGGTAACGCCACATGGTAACGCCACATGGTACTGTAACTGCACATGGTAACGCCACATGGTAACGCCACATGGTAACGCAACATGGTAACGCAACATGGTAACGCAACATGGTAACGCAACATGGTAATGCAACATGGTAACGCCACATGGTAACACCACATGGTAACACCACATGGCAACTCCACATGGTACTGAAACTCCACATGGTACTGTAACTGCACATGGTAACGGCATATGGGTGCACCAAATGGTTAGGCCACATGGTAGTGCCACATGGTAACGCCAAATGGTAACTCTGCATGTTAACGCCACATGGTAACTCCACATGGTAACTCCATATGGAAACACCACATGGTAACTTTATATGGTAACGCCACATGGCAACTCCACATGGCAACTCCACATGGTAATGCCACATGGCAACTCCACATGGCAACTCCACATGGTAACGCCACATGGTAACTCTACATGACAATGCCACATGGTCCCTCCACATGGTAATTCTACATGGTAACTCCACATGACAATGCCACATGGTAACTCCACATGGTAACCCCACATGGTAACGCCAAATGGTAACATCACATGGTAACTCCACATGGTAACATCACATGGTTAAGCCACATGGTAACTCCACATGGTAACGCCACATGGTAACGCCACATGGATCTGACAGAGTAACTGAGTATGGAGACAGTGTGGGCCGTACCTGAAGCTTGTAGTGAGTTGGCCATAGGTTCTGTCCCGCTCAGTGTCCCGTCTCCAGCAGCACAGAGACACCTGCAGAACACGGACAACACACACGTCACGTTAGTAAGTCACATTTATTTATGTAGCACATAGATCATGGACATGAGAACATTGAACATGTTGTTAGTGGTAGGGACGACCGCAGCACCCGGAGGAAACCTTCACAGACACGGGGAGAACATGCAAACACTGAAAGGCTCTGTCTGGAATTAAACCCAGGACCTTCTTACCCCAACCGCTGTGTCCATGTGCCACCCCCTGTCTTTTCATCTTTGCCTAATATTTGGGTCTAGTCTAGTCTAGTCTAGTCTAGTCTAGTCTAGTCTAGCCCGATTGGGAGTGTTTCCACCAACCTTGTTTAACACGTACCAGATACCTTTTTAGTACCAGCTTGGCCCTGGTTATATCCGGGCCAAGCTGGTACTAAAACTATTATTACTAAAATGACAATTATTTAATGTAGGATCCCAACAAACGTATTGAATTCGGTGATGCTGGAAACCATAGTTACCACAGAAACCATAGTTACCACAGAAACCATAGTTACCACAGAAACCATAGTTACCACAGAAACCATAGTTACCACAGAAACCATAGTTACCACAGAAACCATAGTTACCACAGAAACCATAGTTACCACAGAAACCATAGTTCCCACAGAAACCATAGTTACCACAGAAACCATAGTTACCACAGAAACCATAGTTACCACAGAAACCATAGTTACCACAGAAACCATAGTTACCACAGAAACCATAGTTACCATAGAAACCATAGTTAGCACAGAATGGGTTAGAAAACGCTTTTGGTTTTTGCTCTGTTCATTTGCACTTTACAAGGTTTTGCACTATTTCCATGGTGTTGGGTTCGAATCCCGGTCGGAACAGGGCCTTTCTGAGTGACGTTTGCATGTTCTCCCCGTGTCTGCGTAGGCTTCCTCTGGGTTTTGTTGACTTTTGTGGTCTGAATGACTGGAAAACTAACTAACAAACCTTTTGTAGAAGTCACAACAAACACATGAAATCTCAAAGGGTTAAAGTGTTCTATAAAACATGACAGTTTGTATGAGACCAGTCCAACCGAGTCCCGGGTTCAGAGGAGAACAACCTCCAGAGACACAGATAAAATCATATTTATTTACTGTGTTCTTGCTGCTCTGATGTTTCCTCTGATATTTACTGATGTTTCATGTATGAGGTTATTGTTTATTCAG